CCCTCAGCCGCCGTAACCGTCCAGACACCATGAAGTAACTGGCAAGGTGATACTCCTCTATTTGCAACAAAGCTAAGCCGACGGATGAGCACCAGTAAGGCTGTAGGTAATAGCATACACCTGTCTCCTGCTTCTAACTCCCGTTACATCTTCAATATCGATCTGAATGTGTCAGTGAAGGACTACCGCATGGTATCAGCTAGGTATGTATTTCCATTGTCCAATAAACAGGGACGTTTAGCGACCTCAGGTACTTGTATAGGCACATCTGGATAGTTCGTGGAATAGTAGTCCAGATCGGGAAAAGTTCTAGTCACTATGAAGTTGAAAGACACATTCATCTTTCCCTCCAATTGTCCATCTATGTACAGTTCCTACATATCTATAATCCGTAAACTTCAAGTTTCAAGCACAGAATTCTTGGATCAACCTTTCGAAAACCCTGCTCATACTTTGCAGACTGTCGACCTCCACCCATTCCTCCTTGCTGTGTAGCCCGGCTCCTGATGGACCATATACGATTGCAGGGACTCCGACTTCACTCAGTAAAGCCGCGTCGCACCAGAAGGGTACGCTGACCACTTCAGGACAGTTTCCCAAGACCTCAGTGGCACATGCCATAGACTTTTGGACTAAAGGGTGGTCCGCAGGGAGCTTCTGTGGAGGACGCGAAACGGTGACGCGCGGTGGAGCATATCTGAAGCGAGGTTTCTCTTTTGCAATGTCGCTTAACAGAGCGTTCATGTCCTCAAGGATAGACTCGTTGGATTGGGCGGGAATCGTCCGGAACTCGACGGTGATAGTGCAACGCTCCGGATACGAGGAAGGTTCCTGACCTCCCTTGATCAGTCCACAATGTAGAGAGGCCTGTCCCAGGGTATCGTCGATCGGCAGTCGCTTCTGATACTGCTCCAGAGATTGCAAGAACCAACCCGCGTAAAGGATTGCGTCTTCTCCCGCTTGAGGATCCGAGCCGTGCGCGGCGACACCCAGAATGTCCACTTGCACCCACACGAACCCTTTGTGCGCAATCGCGATTGCCCCCATGGTGGGCTCAGGAACCACTGCAGCATCTGCACGCCATCCTGCTGCAATAACATCGCGAGTGCCCTGGGAAGCATCTTCCTCATCGGATACAGCTGCCACAATGACATCGCCACGAAGGGTGCGACCACTGGCTTTGATCGCTGCGAGTGCTGCCAAAGCAGCGGCCAGTCCACCCTTCATGTCCAGACTACCTCGTCCGAAAATCACTTGCTTGCCTTCCTTCTCACCCAGCTGGCCGGACAGTGGGTCGTGCTCGTAGCTAGTCAATCTGACAGTGTCAAGATGACCGTTGAACATCAACGACTGTCCGCCGCCACTCCCACGCAATATCCCGACGATGGATGGCCGACCAGCAACCGGTTCGACGCGATGGCACTCTATCCCACGATGAGCGAACCAAGCAGCGAGATAGTCGGCTATCTCGGTCTCTCCTACACCGTCAGCCACAGAGAGTGTAGGATTAGATGAGTTGATCTGCGTCAGGGTTTGCGTCAAACCCACAGCATGCTCGACTGCCACGTCGCGGGGAAGGGGGTATGGACGAGCACCTTCAGTGCAGAGGAGTACCACCACAGCGTCCCTATGCAGCAGTGAAGTGGCATGACCTGATGCTTTCAACCGCCGAAATGCAGCCAAAGATGCTCCGCCACAAGGGCCGGCGCGTACGTTATGAGAAGCCAAATACTGAACCGCGCAGTGACTCTCATACGATGAGACTGTGACTGCAGCATCAACTACTCGTTGCAGATCGGGCCACGCCGTGGCTGACACCGTGCCACAATTCATTCCGTTCATGATCGTTTCTGAAGACTTGACTGTGACCGTCTTGCCGGCCTGGAGGCTGTTGATTAGACACGGTCCGCTGTCCGGCTCAACAGCCACCACAGCAATTGGGGTCGCCCGAGACTTGCAATGTCTGACTACGGCGTGCGCCAGGCTACCGACTCCCACAGGCGTAACAGTCAAAGTGCTTTGCAGACCAAGCTGGCTCAGCTGTTCGTCGATCTCCGTCATCATTGTCGAGTAACCCTCCACAATCCATGCTGGGACCTCCTCGTATCCATCGAATGCAGTGTCCTGGACCAGTAGTCCACCGTCGTTCCGTGATGCGACCCATGCCTCTTGGACCGCTTGATCGTAGTCGCCATCGCTGATGACCACGTCAGCGCCTTCCGATGCAATCCGGTTACGCGTCCCCTCGTCCATCGACGCAGGGACGAAGATTCGCGCGGTGACCCCCAGCTGTCTTGCCATAAAGGCGACCGCTCGTCCATGGTTCCCTTCGGTAGCTGCAAAGAGAGCGACTGGGCTTTTCTTGAGCCGCTGCTTCACATCCTCAAGAGCGACAGTCGGGAACAGTCCCAGATGCGACACCACAGCGCGATAGCATCCCCATGATGCGCCCAAAACCTTAAAGGAAGGCAGTCCGAAGCGGTTGCTCTCGTCTTTGACGAAAACCGCCTTGACCCCTAACCCGGCTGCAACTTCAGGGATTGAGACCAATGGTGTTGGACGGTAACCAGGGAGTGAGTGGTGGAAATGATTGAGGCCTTGGATGGTTGAGAAATCGCAGCGCTCGTCGGCCGCGGAAGGGTTAAAGTATATTGGGCGACGCGACATCTTGCCAGGGGAAAAGGCAGTTGCAATGATTAGGCAGGATACGCATAGCCCTACGGTTAGTGCTGTGTATATGTATATAAATTAAATATTTTGAGCTGTCTTAAGAGTGGGTCTCTGTGCCTTCCGACTACAGACAGCGCCTTCTATGAACATTCTTGAGAGTGGGGAATAGTGGCACAGAAGGAAGAAAGGTTAACTGAGATGGAAAAGGGTGGATGAAGTGTCCCTGGCGCAGTCATTACTATCGGCCATTCTGGATATCCTGGATATGAACACTTCTGATTATGTTGCATAAATATTACAGGCTCTATGATTGGCAACATATGCTTACACCATTCAGTACGGTACTTCAGACTCTATAATTGCGAGATTATTATAAAGCGTGTGAGTCTACTTCTTTGCTAGCTGACTTCAATTCACTCAATTCATCATTTCAATCGTTCTGCGCCTTTGTCCGGTCGTAGTGAACCACAGCCTCAAGCAGGGTTTGAGCACCCAATGCACTATAAGAGTTAGCGTCTGACTATGACAGAATACGAACAACCACTTACCAGTGCTCGGGACTACAGTATTCCGTCGGATGGTGACTGACGCCATCACGGCAGGGCACAAAAATCATAGCAGTCGGACAGTGATGGCTGGTATACACGCTATCGTGGCCAGCGCCGCTGGATATGTTCATCCACTGATCTGGCCCAACGAGGTGGTTGGCCGCTGCCTGAATGGACTCGAGGCACCCCTGATCGAACTTCACAGCCGGGGAATCGGTGTCCAATGTCCAGTCAAAGGTGACTCCTTTTCCGTCCTGGCCGGCAATGGCAGAGAAGGCCTGCAGACATTCTTCTTGCACTGCATGTACCACGCTATCCTGGGGGTGTCGGATATCAAGGGTGAAGGAAACCTCGGATGCAATCGTATTAGTGGATGCGTTAGAAGGAATCCTGAAAATTCCAGTCGAAGCAAGAGCATCGTGCTTCTGAGCGATGTCATTCGACGCGGCAATCATTCGCGAGGCTGCAAGTAGGGGATCTTGCCGGGCACTCAAGGGTGTCGTGCCTGTGTGCGCGTCGCGTCCCTTGACTGTAAAAGTAAACCACCTGTATCCCTGTGCGCCGTGAACGACTCCAATGGATCGTCCTGTCTCTTGTAGAATGGGGCCCTGTTCGATATGCAGCTCAAAATGCGCCGCGAGGGGATAAGCAGAGTGTGAGCACTCCATTTGGCCTAGAAATCCGTGTCTTTCGAGCTCGGATTTTAGTCTGACACTTGAATCATGTATATCACGCAGATCCCAGGCTTTCTCGATGGGAATGGCGCCAGCCCAAACGCCAGAGGAGCACATTGACTTGGGGAATCGAGCTCCTTCTTCACTGCAATCAGTTAGCAGAAGTACGACAAGAGGACGAGGGAGCAGGGTCGCACTTTGTCCAATTGACTATCCCAACGTCGTAGTTGGTATGGAATCCGTTCTCCTTCATTGTTCGTAGCACTTCCAGCGCTGCCATCACCCCCAGAATGCCATCATAGCGACCGCCGCGTGGTTGGGTATCAAGATGGCTTCCCATGGCGATCATGGGAGCAGATGTCTGCAACTTGCCTTTGTGGCGTGCAAACATGTTTCCCATCTGGTCTATGGACAGCGAACATCCGAGTTTTTCGACTTCTGCGGCGAACCATCGCCGCACACGGGCATCGTTATCATCCAGCGTGAGACGAGCCATCCCAGTGTCGGTCGGGTTCCTATTTGTGATGAGTTCTACTCTTCAACTGGAAGCTGGCAGTTCACGTACTGTCCATGACGATGAGCAGCTCCCCACTGGCACGTCTCATGTAGCGTTTCCCATAATCTGTTGGCGTTAATCTTGAGGCCTGATCCCTGGCATTCCGTGGACAGCCGCCGCGATGTGTGCCTTAATATATGGTAGTTAGCGCGTCTGAAAGACTGCATATTGGCTATTTTGCGACTGCTAAACAAGAATGAGTTGATTCGTGGCCAGTCAGTTGTTTAGTTTCGCCGTCGCTTTTATTGCCCTACGCCTTCTGTGGACAGCTGTGGTGGAACGATTTCGGAACACAACCAAAGATCCACCTTCTGGCAAACTTTTCAAAAGCTGTCTTCCTGAATTCAATGGAGGTTTTGTGCTTTTCTTTCTCTTTGGACGGCATGTATGTAGATAGAAGGCGCTCGTGGAGATATATTCAAGGAGTGGAAATTGTGGACACCTTAAGAGCGCCTTCCACCAACATCATTACAACGAGTCCGGCGGATCTCATGGACAACACCAGGCACTCAACCTTGCTACATAACACTCTCTACACAACAGCAGATCATCTCAAGAAGCTTTCTTGGCGTCCCGCTCATAACACCGATCGTCAGATCCTTCAACCTCCTTTACCAATCTCTCCATCTCCTCAACTTGCCGCTGGATCTCCGTCTGCTTGAGCCGTTCTTGCCTGCTGAACAGCTCCCGATTTGGCCTGCGATAGCTGCCTCCAACGCGGTCCCAAAGTGTGGTGAATTGCCCGTAGTTGTAGTTGAAATAGTAGTGGTGGATAGTGTGGCAGGCGGATCCATTGATCACGGGTGAATCCAGAGCGTACTCTCCATCATCTGGGCATTCGTGTCAACATAAGCATTTGACTGCTTCAGAAATTTGCATCTTAGGAGACTTACGAATCATGACCGTCCAGATGGTCACAAAAACAAAGAGACCCAAATACGCCGCCTTCTGCAGCGGAAAGAGAAACGGGTAGATATGGTACGGAAGACTCTGACTCCAGCCGTCCACTGGGTGGAAGGCATAGCTGGCATAGGGGGTGGAGATGATCCATTTGTGATGCGGCTTGTGCAGGCGTTTGTAGATTACCGGATGATGCAGTCCTCGATGAATCCAGTAGATTGCAAAATCGGTAAATGCAATGAAGAGCGGGTACTGGAGGTAGGTATAGAGGGGGAAGGGACTTTCGGTGGGAAAGTCGTACAGCTTGCTGTATCCTCGCACTTCAGCAAGAAAGAGAGGGGCAGTAAGGGCCGCCATCACGGGCATTGCGCGCAACGCCTGCCCGATTTCAAGCCGTATCTGATGGCGAAGGAATTTGGGATGTTGCATGGCACGTTTGTCGAAGACCAGGGCGAAGGAGAGGGTGGCAGTGGTCAAGTAGAGCAGAAGTCCGAAGCCCCTAAGAAGTCAATAAGCAGGTGCTATCGCCGCTGGTCTGAATAGGGACATTGAAGACCAACCAGATCGTGATGAAAAGACTCAGAAACTGCCGGAAGATATTGTCTCGCGGCCAGGTGCTCTGCATAGCGTATTGAGATGGAATGAGGGTGACATATCGACTGATATGGCGGTTGTAATCATGCAGCGAGTCCTGGTCCAGAAGGTCAAATGATTTGGCTGGTACAAGAAACGCATATAGCTTGTCGAAGACAAATGTATCGAGAATATCAAGCACAACGTCCATTATGCTGGTATTCGCCGATGCCTAAAGGGAAAATCCTGACACTGAATAACTGTGACGCAGGAATAGTCCTTGAGATATAACAGCTGATCAGCCTTTGGCGCACTCGGTAAGTCGGGTTCCGAGGTAGGATGATACTGACTTAGTGAGTCCACTGCTGCCGTCACTGGAGACAGGCCAAGATTGACAGAACGCGTCCAAGCCCCTATCTTCATGGCTTAATTGTTTGGTTGAACGCATTGAATCATGTTTACTGTACGCAAAAAGCTCAGAGGAGGCTGGGAGGCCCATTGTCACCAATGGTTCAAACTCCTCGTGACTGGAAAAGTATCAAGTGGAAAATGTGTATCATTTAATTTCAAGTCCAGCTACCTAAGCAATGCATAACTTACTTATGCCCTTGAATCCATACCGAAGCAGTAGACAACGTCGTATAAATCATAAAGACAAACCCCAGCACCACCATTGTAAGGTCGCCGAATTTAGCCAAGGGAGAGTCTGCAACCCCCTTCCAGTGCAAGTACGCCGGGTAAATGTAGACCAGAGGAACACAAGCAAACGAGCCAATCAACGAGACAAACTTGTCCAAATCAGCAGCACCGACGGCCGACATCACAGCGCAAGCCAACACGATCAACGATCGGAAGACGTTCTTTTTCCACTTGATCCAAGGGTCTCGCTTGCCCGACACCTGACCGAACAGTTTGCCCTCCATGATCCGAACGGCGGGGAACAGCTGTACCGGAACACCGATCAGGATCGCCATCGAGTAGAGGAACTGCATAGCGTTCACAAACTTGTCTCCCTGGGGAAGATTGTTGATGACTTCGATCTTCGTGTCGGAACCAAAGGCGCCGTAGGAAAGAGCGCCGACCGCGGTGAAGAGCACGGTGATGATGATCATGACAGTATAGAGGAGCCCGTCGAATCTCTCTGGGTGTTTCATGGACGATTGGATGGGGAGGATGAGACCGATACCTTCGAAAGTGAAGATGCAGGAGCCGATGGTCAAGGTAAACGACTTGGGATTGAACAGTTCAACTGACGAGTGCAACCCATGTCGGGACGCAATGGTCGCAACATCGTAGTAATAAATGTACGCAAGACCCATGAGGATGAAAATGTCCGCGAGGAGCGCCGCTGGTCCCAGTTTGGAGATGTTTCGGATGAATGCCAGCGGCACAAGAACAGCTAATTGGAGTGCGATGAGGATGTTGGTGGACAGAACTTTTTCGCTATTTTCAGCGACTGCTGACAAGACCGCCCGAACATTGTCCGCAGTGAAGATGATACCTGTGCAAACAAAGCCAAGTTGGGAAATGGTGATGGACCCCAGAATGAGTGATCGGAACCGAGGCCCTGCTATACGCTCACCGATATCACCATAACCGCCCCCATGTCCTTTCCGACACTCCAGCAGAAGATGGAAGCAGAGACTCGTGACCGCCGCGACCGTGACCAGCGCGACCGATGAGAAGAGAATGCCACCGTTGCGAAAGGCCTTGGGCAGGAAGATAATTCCCGTCCCAATGAACGCTTTCAGTAGTGTGAAAAAAGTCTTGACCCGAGACGCGTCCCCAGGACGAGGTGCTCGAGTTGTTCTCCGCCGACCTAGCAGAGGCCTTCGCTCGGGCTCATGCTCGAGATCTTCCGTTGCAATCGCAGACTCATCCTCTGTCTCCGCTAAATCCTCGCCGGCGAAACTACCATACAGGTCGAGGAAATCGAGGAACGAGCGGGCGACCAGTGCATCGCTGGCCCAGCCCTTTTTCTGTTGTACAAAGTGCCGCCGAAAGCTGCCAGGTTCCATGGCAGCCACGCCTTCTTCTATCGCATCATCGGGAGGTCGGACAGGATAAGAAAAGCTGGCGGCTCGTCTTTCTTGCAGAGCTTGTTTGGCCTTGGCCTCGAGCCGGTAGAGATCGCGATGGATGTCACCACCCAGGAGCTTCAGTGATGACTGTTGTTCAGGATTGTCTGAACTGGAGGATGCTTCAGCTGCAGCACGGGTCTGAAGGGGAGATCCTTCAGGAAGGGAGCCGGTGAATTGGGGATGAAGATGTTGTGATAGAATCTCGGCCTCTCGCTGGTCATCTCGGACGGGGGGCAACGAAGGGGGACGGTCTGCCATTGTTAGCGGGAAAGAGAATGGAATATTGCTGTTCAATTAAGATCAGGTGCGATTGAGAAAAGAATTAGGAAATATCCTGAATTTCGAGCTACAAGACAAAGAGCCTCATTGTGCAGACTTGATGTTGATGTTGATGTTGACGAAATGGAGATGCAACGTGCCAGAGTGAAGTCATTCCATTCGACACTGGGCAGCAACTTGATGGATCTAGTTATGCCTTGTTTGAGGCGGAGAGGAGAAGACATTATTAGGTAGAGAGGGAGAGTGAATGGAGAAAAGATCCACAGGGATCTCGATGGTTCTGCGCCACTCCTGCTGACTCAGCTGCATAGCACAAGTGGCACATTTCGAGCATAAATGTGGGGATGTCCCGAATAGGCAATTCTGAGGGGAACTGGTGAATGGTGAAGTCATCGGTCCGATGATGCTCCTTTTCCAGACTTGTCCACATACCAGAGGGTATTATGGTACCGTTCTGCTTGTGGACGTTTTTAATGAGCATCTATGTGATTGTCTTAACGGAACATGTCTGGAAACGGCAAGCAACGCGAGAGTGACGAGGCTCCCCAGTCTTCAAGCCGGGGTCCGTCCCAGTTCCTCGTGGATCAGGATCCGCACCAGGAGGGAGATGGACCTGCCAGATGGGAGAAATTAGGGGATCAGCCGTGTGTATGCTTCCAAGTGTAGCAGTGGCCGTGTCTAACCCCCATCAGAAACAACAACCCGGAGCTCTCCGACTTTTTGCTACGAGTCTCTTCGATAACTGGCCTTGATTCGACTCGCTACATTGGTGGAAAGAATCGAAAAGGGTCCTAAACCAGTCACCGCTGAGATACCCATCCAGGCATTCATTGAAGAAGTGACAAGGGGTTGCGATCGTTCCTATGTATCACTCGTTTTGGGACATTTGTGGCGCTTCTCGGGACATATATAGTTGAATTGAACTTGTGGCGCAACAAACAAATTTGAACACAAATATATAGCATATCAAAATATTCTCCAAAGACTGGGCAAACTGATTCTTACAACGGCCATATTTCCTTGCAATGAGCCTCGGGATTGCTCGCAAGCTTGGCCACTTCATCCTTCGTGGCTTGGTCGAGATCTCCGAATCCTGCTTGACCTTGGAGCCAGCTCGCATAGTCTTGGATTCTGTCCCGAGCATTGCGGAATCCCCCCCGGTACTTCTCCTCAAAGAACTTGGCGTGGGCCGTCTTGAGTGTTTCATTCTTAAGGGGACTTGGGAGGTAGATGTTGACATCCTGTTGCATTTTGTCTCTGCTAAACGGTTAACATGGTTACCAAAGAAGATTGAGAGAAGACTGACAGAAGACCGTCTATGGCCGCGATGGTGGCCTTCATGCGAGTCCGAATCTCCTCATAATTCATATACTGACAGATGGTGACGATGCGTCCGAGAGTGCACACTCGCTGGTTGGTATTCTTGTTGGGCGTCTTGAATTTGGCATCGATATCATTACCAGCAAACATCTGCCGGGAGTCAGTCATTAGGGCTTTTCCAGACGACATCCGTGGAGCTCACAGAATATTTCATGCCATTTTGTCTGTTGGGGAAAATCGCCATAAGTGTAGACGCCGTGTGGACGGTACCCAGATTCTGCATCAACGCCTCCGAGTAGTTGAACGCGACGGTAGGATTGGGCGTGCTGATATCGCGTTGGATGCCAAAACTGTTCATCGCTCCCTTGCATTTGGTGCTGTCCTGGACGGTGGGATCCTCGATCGTCGCTGGATAATAATTCTTCACCAGATAGTCGATAAAGTCACGGACCCAGTTGCCCTCATAGATATGTTCCGCTACTTTCGTCAGTTTGTCTCCGTGCGCACCAGGTCAAGGCACTTACAGGCCCATCCTTGTCTTGTCACGCCAGCCCGATCGTCCTTGGGAACCTCCTTGATATTCCAGGTGCTAGCGGGGCATTGATTCTGCGGGCTATTACTGCACGACATTCCTGGTTGAATGATAGGAACGGCAGCATTGTTCCTCAGCCGTGAGGGGCGCTGATACTTTTGCACCCAAATCTGTTTCGTGCGGCCCTCGTCGCAGGCGAGGTAATATGGGTCCCGACCCTGGTAAAAGGCGCTGTCGGCATCCCGTCTAGTGAGCGCGACTGAGCTTGTGGTACCTCTCCGAAGCACGCCCGGAGCGACCCCATCGTCGGGATCCAGAGGGTCTGACTGAGGAATGCAGGTTCCAGGAGACTCTTCTCCGGCAGCCAGACAGAGCTGGGGGAACGTGTACAGCGTCGGTGTCTCGTACAGAGTCACGTCCAGGAACACGTCCCGTTCCCCTTTCACCTCTGTGTAGCCCTGCAGCCCCAGACTGGCACCCAGCGTAGCATCCAGCTTGACTCCGTACGGTTTGTTGGGGTCATTCGCGCAGAAGCCGGCTACATCTGAGGACAGAGTCAGTATTCGAAGAGATTCGGGCTAGATAGAAGCTCACTGTATCCCGCGGCCGCAGTCACTGTAATATCAGGAACTTTGATGCCCACTTCGACGTTCAGTCCGTTGTCTGCAACATCCGTCAGCTGCACAGGCTTTAAATCTTACATAAGGTGGGGGGCTGGATACCGAAGACCTCAATGCTGGCCGCCACCGCAACTTCCGTGTAGAGCTTTGCTCTCGCATGGATTTGCGCCTCGATCTCGAGAGGCTTGGTTTGGATTTCTGGAATCCATCCCGAGATAGTCACCGGGTTCTTGCTGGCCAAATCTACCTTGGCCACCGAGCTATCGGGCACTCTGGCTGAGATTCCTGTGGTGACAGATGCCTCACCTCCAATGTATTCAATACTGTAACCAGCATTGATCTTCACATTGGGTCCGAATGTTAACACCCCTGGAACCCGCCAGCCACTGGGCAACGGCAGCTCCACTAGGGTCCACTCCTTACCTGGAGCGGGGAGGCCATCGAAGTCAACCTCACCTTTGAACTCCAAGCTCAGATCCAGATTTGCAGCGATGTTACGAGGTGTAGCCGATAGTTCAAACTTCTCCAGCCCACCGAACAGGCTCGCTTCCACATGGCCGGCGAACGCGAGAGTGCCTGTGGTGCCGCAGTTGACACAGTTGATGGCGAGACTGGCATCCACGAACGGGGTGTTCATGGTCCAGTTGACAATCTCAGTGGGAAACGAGGAGCTGAGATCCAGGGTAAAGGCCTTGTTCAAGCTTACATCTAGGAACCGCTTGTCCTTGGTGCCCTGATGGCCGAGGACGATATCTCCAAAGTCGAGCACAGTCGTGTTGGATACCTTCTGCCAAGTACTCTTGGTCGCTGCGAGCTTGGCGGTTGAGGCCTTGTCGTCAAAGACAGCGTTGCTGACCACCCAGGGGTCTCGGTCGCGGGGAGTACCGCATCCCTCCCAGCTGGAGACCATGACGAAACTGCGCATGTCGTTGTAATTCACCCACTGCCATGCGAACTTGGCAGCAAGATAGAAGAGCTTGTTTTTGAACTTGAGGGTCATCCCATCGGTGCAGCTGACCGAGTCCAGGGCAAAGGAAATCTTGTCCATGTCCAGGATGCGTTCATCCTGTCTGGACCAAACAACCATGCTGACTGCAGTGACTTTGCTGTTTGGTTCTGTCAAGGTCAGCCCGCAGTTCAGAAAGCTGATTTAAGAAATACCATTGCCAGAAGTCCACATGAACTGCTCATGGTCCTGTAGTGCCACACTTCCAGCGGGATCATCTCTCTTGCGCAAAGCATCCTTGTCCCAAACATGCCGGGGAAGGGGCTGCAGGTCAATCAAGTTGTTTTCAACAGCAATGACAGCGCTGAGGAGCCATGATAAGGCAAATAGTAGAAGGGATTGCCTCATCTTTGCTGGGATAGGCAATCGAATTCGAGTTGATCTGCTGTTTGTCTTGTGTTTTCAGACAGAGGAGCAAGAGGCTTTATATACAGTTATCCCTCCCCTTCTACGATTCGGTGGATGCGAGGGATCCTTTACAATGATACTCAAGGCTGGCATTATGCTTCTTGAGGAAGCAACTCCGCTCTGCATCCAGACTCTGAGGCCATGCATATACGAACTCTGCCGTGCCGAGTCTTTAAGAAGTTGTATCTGCCAGCCAATACCTGCCATTGTCGCGAGATGCCCAGTACGGCGTTTATTGACCAATATCTTCAGCGAGGTCAATTTGCAATGTATAGAGGGCTCGCTTGTAGTTCACAAAATGCAGAGAGCACAGTATCACATATTTAGACTCCCTGGGCACGGCAGAATACGAGTGCTGACAGTAAGCCCAGGGCACCGTAGCATTGCTGCAAATTCAGCGCCATCGCACAATGCTCTGCATATCTTGGCCCTCGTATATCTGAATTTGCCCTCAGGTTTGATTTGTGTGTGATGGATGGCATAAGTCTTGGTCGATAAACAACTGGATCCCATGGGAGGCATTGAGGTGCTATAGTTGTGCAATCGGCCATCTTCCGGAATCCACTGGCCAGACCGTCCTAGCTGCATCCATGTCTGATGCTTCACCTGCAGATACGATCTGACAGGGATATGAAGGGCTATTGCTGTTGCACAGATGCGACCAACCCCGCATTCTGCAATTTCCCTGCGGTATGCACAAGCCAATGCCGATCTGGATATCGAGTTTACTAGTTGTTGTGGATCAGCCGATGCAACCTTTCTTTCTTTGACTTAACTGATCGTGATGATCTGGAAAAAGGATGATGAGTTGGTGACCATACCAGGAGTAGCATCACTCGCGGATACATGCCCCGCCACACGGAAAACCTTAATGGCCTCCTATTTCGGGCAGCTTTCCATCCTTACTCTTTCTCAACCGAAAATAGGAAAAAGATGCTAGTCAAGATATAGTCAAATGGATTTGGACAGCCTCATTTTCAATATAGGCGTTTTCATCGCCGGGGTCTTTGTCCTTGATTATGGCGCCGACACGTTCATTGATCACACCGTCATCGTCGGCCGTTCCTTGGGGGTTTCACAGACAATTATTGCGCTGCTGACGGCAGGGGCGGAGTATGAAGAAGCAAGTCAAATTTGTATTTCTGCTCTCTTATGCAAACTGACCATTCGATTAGCTCGCCGTGGTGGTTGCTGCCATTCTGCAACATCGCACACCCCTGGCCTTGGGCAACCTCATGGGCTCGAGCATCTCCAACATCCTGGGCGCGTTCTCACTGGGTCTACTGTTCCACCCGACTCGAATTGACTTTGATCGGAGTGCCAAAATATATGCTGCAGTGCTCCTCGCAGTTACGACGCTATTCGTGGTGCTGGCGTTCTTCAACCAGTTGAATAAAATTGTTGGGGGCTTTCTGATCGCTTTGTTTGGCATTTATGTTCTCTCAATCCTCTATGCCATCTATAAAGGAGTTGCAACAGCACCTGAGCTCGCGGACAGCGACAGTGACGCCGGATCGACCGATGGTGTGGTGGATTCCGTGACTGAAGCGACTCCCTTGATTGAGTCCCAGTTAGGCCAGGTCCCAGAACGGTCGACTAGGAGCCTTCTGTACCACGTCGCCCAGCTATTCTTCGGCCTCATCGCGCTATCACTATCTGGATATCTTCTATCGCACAGTGCCGTGAGCATTGCCGATTCCTTGCACCTCTCCGGAACTGTCTTTGGTCTGACCGTTGTTGCGTTCGCCACCACCTTGCCTGAGAAACTGATTGCAGTCCTCAGCGGGTCTCGCGGACATGTCAACATTATGGCAGCCACTACTGCAGGAAGCAATATCTTCCTCTTGACTCTCTGTGCTGGCGTGGTGGCACTCGCCGGTGATACAAGGAATCAACCAGACACGTTTGTCCTGTTCGATCTGATCTGTGTCTGGGTGTCGTCCTTGGGCTTTTTCTTGGCGGTTATCCTAGGCCTGGGGAGGATAGCCGGTGTAATATTCCTTGCTGCGTATCTGGCATTTTTAGCGCTGGAGTTTACAGTGTACAGGAGATGATGTCCCTTGGTTATTGAAGGAGCCACAACTGTTGTGGAATTGAAAACCCTCCGCATCCATAGTTGCATCCCTTTTTTCTTTCTTAATCAAGGCCGTGCTTAGACTCTGATTGTTAAATGCGGTTGGAAATGTAGGATCTGAATAGACTAGAAACATCACAAATCCAGGATCGATTAATACAAGCAACATGCATAAAATGATGCGATCGTACTATGACCAATTACTATAAGTAGGGCTTAGTTGCACGCAAGCTTGATACAGGGACATCCGATCAAAGCGGGGTTATACGATGCTATCCGAGGCAAGCCATCTTCTTCTCTGACACGAATGTCCCTGTTCCTGTGCGTTTGCCACCATCTTTGAAGAAACAACACGGCACAACTTTATATCCGCACATCGCGATGAGCTGCACAAGACGAGTCTTTCCACTTCGGCAGCCCAAAGGGCATCGACCGCCCGTTCCGAGATGGATGGCTCAATTTCCAGATGATATGGACTGCGTCTTCACCGCATATATTGGGGTGCAACGACGTGGGGCCCAAACCGATGAAGGGTTACTGGCTGAGAGCGTTAACGCGGCGGCCGAGAGCATCCAGCGATGGATGGTCGAGGATGCATCCAGCGCACCTGCGTCGATCGAACAATTTCAGGTCGTTGACGGAGATGATGTGCCCCACTCGGCAGTTTGGGTGTGTTACTGGAATGAAGCGAGCAAGTATGAGGACAGTATACGACGCTTGAGCCTTGTGGATATCCATCAGCAATTGAGTCCTCCTCATCGAGAGTCTGTTGGCTTGTGGTGTGAGCGATTCACCAGCCACCTGTCGCGTGTCGAGACCAACTATTCAGGTCTTGACTATCTACCGGGACTGGCGCGCTTGCCCGGAGTGTCGACTATAGAACATACCTTGACTGCATATTGGGGGGCTGCCCGCGATCGCATCCCAGCCTCAGCCACAGATCAGTTCGCCGAGAACGAGGAGCCTGAAAAGACGCATGTGGCACCGGGGACTACGTCACAGCGCGAGATCCAAAATTATCACGTAGTAGGCACGAATCCGGACAACCTCGTCCACATCCGCTCCGGACAATTCTGGGCCAACTGCCCAGAAGACGAAGCCAAAGCATACGAGGAGACGCTGGAACCTACCCTGCGTGCTGGACTGCTGTATCTATGGGATAATCCCCGGAAGAGTGGCGCTATCGGGCTACGGTATCTCTACAATCGTCCACCCACTGCTCGGGCACTGGAGAAGACGTGTGAGACTAAAGAGTCTTGTGTGGCTGGATTCTTTCGTAACCTTGCAGACCTCGAACTCTGGGCGAAGTCGCATCCCTCCCACTTGGCCATCTATACTGGAGCCATAAAGCATGCAAAGAAGTTCGGAGACCAGCGCAAGTTCCGCACCTGGCACGAAGTTTCAGTGCTGAAGCATGGTGAGGCACATTTTGAGTACGTCAACTGCATGGGAAGAACAGGTGTTATGCAGGGGATGTCCCATCTGCAAGCACGGGTTGGCTAAGGCAAACTTACCTTACTAGAGGTCTACATCAAATCTGTTATCAGACTGGCGCCACTGTTGGACGTTTGCGTTGAGAAAGCGCCAGGTCATTTCCTATCATATGGATTATCATGACTCTGTCCCCTATACTGTAGCCCTCACAGGTGCATGTACCTCTAGCGCCCTTAATGTCAAAATATAAACACCTATGACCGGTTGATAGAGGCTCGCAATGAAGGCTGGAACATGCATGCCAAATGGCCTTTCATCCAGGTGGCAAATCCTGGCGTCCTCGATGCAGCAAGGGTCTTCCTCGAGCCAATTTATTTAAAGCTCTCCTCCTCCATCAGTCGATGCTTGAATTACGATTTGCTGGTGAGGTTCGTCTGCTTTTCTCAGGCCATCTGACCTCTGCGTCTGACACGCCTCCGTAGTCTTCATATGCTTTTTCACATGCGCAACCCCGCTTCATCAGATCGAGCACTAAATCAAAGACGAGGCAAGCCGGGATTGATTGAGATATAATTCACAAACTCCAGAATGGCATACTTGGCCCTTTTTCCGGTGCTGATCGAATCTCCTGTGTATTATCAGATGCACTGTACCTCCTATACATCTCCGAAATTCCGTTCCTCGGTCCGGCCATCTCTTCCATGCCCTAGAAAATAACACACAGCAACATTGTGTCGTTGAGCCACTACCGAGTCAGGCACATTTCCTGATACGAAGTCATGGCTTTTGTCCAGGAGGAAACTGCTCAGCTCACCGAGGCAGCGAAGTCGTACGAGTCTCTATCCATCTACGACACCATTGCGAACCCCACAAACCTCAGGACGTTCCTGACGGAAGATATCTATCTCCTCGGAGGCCAGTTCGCTATCCTTTGTCAGTTTGCCCATCCTGCCCTGGCCAAGGGCAGCTACAACCACTCCAGCTTCGCCACTCGCATTCCCAACCGTCTACAGAATACCGCCCGTTTCATCAATGCGGCCGTCTTTGGCACTCAGCAAGACAAGGCAGCAATCTTCTCCATCATCCACCGCTACCATGCCCGAGTCAAGGCAGAGGACTACGATGCAAATGACCCGGAGTTGCACAAATGGACCGCTGCTACCCTCTTCGTCGCTATTGTAGTCGTCCACGAAACCTTCTTTGGGGAGTTGCCCCGAGACAAGATGGAAGCGCTTTACCGAGAATCTGCGGTATTTGGCACTTCCCTGCGGATGCCTCCCGAGATGTGGCCGGCCACTCTTGACAAGTTCTGGGAATACTGGAACCACAACATCAAGACATTGGAGGTCACCGATATGGCACGGAAACTGAGTCGCGATCTCCTCTATCCGGTCCATCTCCCTATGTGGATGAGAGTCATGGCGCCATTGTCGCGGCTTTTAACGATCCATTTCCTCCCAGAACGACTGGCCAAGGAGTACGACCTGCAACCGACTGTGTTGAGTCTGATCCAGTTTCAGGCTACTGTTGGTGTCATGCGCATTGCATACCCTAGTATACCGCAACACCTGCGACAGATATTACATAGGCAATACATGGAAGATTTCAGGAAGGCAGTGGACAGGATCAAACAGACTGGACACTGGGCGGGAGTATAAGCAAGTATGGGATTGGAGAATACAAGGAGTATTGAATGATGCCTTTCCAGTTATCAGATACGCCATAATAAGAGGACGCAATTCGATTATTATCTCAACGATAGACCTGTCCCTCTTTATACCGCCTTCGTTGAATTGGTTTTCATAAAACTCCTGTAGTAACCGCTATGTCTCAGAACGGAGACAGAAGTATACCTGGGCCATTCCATCCAGGACTGTCTTTATGACAATCCTCAGAGAGGTATCAATACTAGTTCAGGCTCAATAGCCCTTCCAAGCTGTACATCATCGCCACCACCATACCACAGACGACCCCTGCGAATGACCAAGCCCTGTTCCTGGCCAACCAGCCACTCCCCGCCGGCCTTGATTGTTCCACTCTCACTCGGCCAATATTCGTCCTGCAGCTTCTGATTGATTTCGTCAATCTTATCAATCAGTTCTTTGACCTTGGAAGGGTCAACATGTCCCTCTCCCGCTACATCTTGTCTGACGAAGCCGTCCTGAGTGACGAACCGAGCAATGGTGAGATGGGCTGAGGGAACAATGTACCGCGACGCAACCGGGATACCAGCCGCCCGAACCATGTCAAATATATCACGACGAAGATGGTGATAAGTATAGGTCTCGTCTTCAATATTGCGTTGCGCATCTGAAGTTTCTCCAGCGGCTGGAACAAAGGTCAGTGCCATGGCTGCAGAATCAAAGCCCACCATAGGCTTCACAAGGCGGGTTTGATGAGCAAACGCATAATCTGCAATATCTGCACTGGGTATGTTCTGTGATAACTGCAGAGTATTTACGAGACTCTCAATCTGCTCTTCGGTCAAAGAATGGGCAATTTCCAGTACTGTCGTATGTAGATTCTCGGTGGGCATGAACCAGAGCGCTGTCGGGACATGGTGAGCGCCTTGCCTCCTGGGCGCGAGAAAGGGTTGTAAGTGTAAGAACTTACTCGGAGCAACGCGTCTGAGTTCGCTTTGCACGAACTTTATAAGATCGCGAATTGGAGAAGGTGGCCGGGCCCAAATGACCAGGCAGTTGCGCGGGTCAACAAATCCTTCTTCCTTTGCAGGACCGTCAAGGCGCGTTAAAATGTCGTCAAGATCCCAGCCTGCGAAGTCTGGTGCCAGGACCTTCGCAGCTTGCTGTGCATTTCGATTGACTCGGTGATTCTCGTAGCGGGACTGCAACCAAACCTGATAGAGAGGCTTAACATTGGATTCTCACCAGAAACCTTTAAATATTACTCAGCGCATCATTATTTGTCTCAATTATCAAAGTCTGGAATGGATTGTCCTCGGATATCGGAAGCGTGGACATTTTATGACAATTTGTAAGATAATGCAGGCATAACATGCCAATACTGGGAAGGGAACTACTCTATACAAAAGATAAGGGCACAGCAGGGTGACTTGAAGTGAGTCATATTGAAACTGTGGCTGGAGTCAGACGCGTGGTACAATCTTGTCTAGTCTGGCACTTGCGACACGACGACGACGGATGGGACGACCTAAGTGCTAAAGTAGTAAGACTATATAATACCACAACAGTCAGGCTGCTAAGGGCAGGGTCAGCGTCGATAGGGGACAACTTTTATATATGGTCACACTGAGGGTTTACACATTAGGTAGCAACCACACAAACAGCAGGACCATCCACAAGGGGGTTTCACAGCGCATGGCCTTCCAATCTTACTTATGAGACGTATCGCGAATGTGACCGCGGGCAATCGCTGTTAACCTGTGCGCTGGGGCTTGCCGGATAAGATCTTAAGCGGTCGGGCTCGGCGTATTCGGACTTCATGCCTAATGGAGTAGGACAGCTCAAACCTCGGAGATATGATGCTCGGAACTGACAACTGCCGGGCAGAAAAGATGATCTGATAACTCTTATCAATCAGTATTGCCTCTGCCCTGTTGATCCGGGTGTGTATCCGATCCTTCAATGCCGATATATAAATGCACATCCCCGGAGTTGGGGGTCATTTCCTCATCCTCTCATTCTCTACTCTGGACACCAATACAGAAACTTAAAAGAACATCAAAATCGGCATGGCAGCAGCACCTTTGAAGAATATCATTGTGGTGGGAGGGTCTTATGTGGGAAGAGTACGTCCTTCACCGAGACGGAGAATGAATATCATACTGACAAGTTGTACAAGGCCACTGCTCAGGAACTCGCACGAGTCATTCCAGAAACACATCGGGTACTTATAATCCACCACGGCCTGGATACACATGTTAACTCCCGCAGGTCCTCCTGATTGAACCGCATAGCCATTTCCTCCATCTCTTTGCTTTTGTAAGGTTTCTTCCTCTGTATCCCAATGTCGCTAACCTGTCCATCTCAGCCACGTTTTGCCATTGTACCAGGTCATGAACATAAAGCTTTCATCCCGTACACCGGAATCTTCTCCACTGTTCCTCGTCCATCCACACATGCAGTGGTCCAAGCGCGAGTACTTTCGGTAAACCCACAATTTGTAACGTTGGATCGCCAGTGGCAGGATTCCAAACAGATCCCCTATGATTATCTAGCAATTACCACTGGAACTCGGCTCGCCCAGCCGGCGGGCATGAAAAATGATGACAAGGTGTCCTCCGTCGAGTACTTGCGAAACCACCAGGCCGATATCGAGCGGGCCAAGTCGATCCTGATTGTCGGCGGAGGTGCTGTCGGGGTGCAGATGGCGACGGACCTCAAGGAGTACTATCCCGATAAAGACGTCACTCTTGTACAGTCTCGGGCACGAGTCATGCCTCAATTCCATGAGCAGTTGCATGCGCTAATCAAAAAGCGATTCGACGAGCTAGGGGTCCGGTATGTATACGTGATCGTCTTACCCAGCACTGAACTTCGACTGACGAGTCGATTTATGTAGACTTATTGTCAGCGCTCGCGCGAGCGTACCTTCAGAAGGATTCCCTACCGATGGAAAACCATTTGATGTGCAGCTGACCAACGGCAGCAAGGTTTCGACGGAATTCGTCATTCTCGCGACGGGCCAACGGCCCAATAACGACCTTTTGACCAATTTGACCCCTTCGAGCTCTGGATCGTTGATCAATCCGGATAATGGGTTTATTCGAGTTCGGCCTACTTTGCAAGTTCAAGATGAACGCTTTCCGAATATCTTCGCCGTGGGTGACATTGCCGACACTGGTGCGCAAAAGGCCGCTCGGCCAGGATCCATGCAGGCCGGCGTGGTCGCCAGGAATATCCAAGCGTTGATTGAAGGACGGAGGGCGGAGGAAGAATATGTACCGCCGCCTGCAGCCATTCACCTCACCCTTGGCATGGTAAGTTCCATACTCAAAAAAAGATGAGGGCTGGCTGAAGCTCACTGGCGCCAGAAATCGAATGTCATCTTCCGCAATCCGAACACGGCAGAAGGGCAAACTGAACCCTGGATAAACGAGAAGACCGAGTAAGTTACCTTCATGACTGTTGCGGCATATGATACTGATCGATATGTATAGTGGCCGAGTGGATATGGGAGTAGAAGGCTGGTGGGAGAAGTTGGGCGTTCAGGTTGAGAACACTCGCTCGTACCATCTGTAGTAGTCAAGCCATATGATGATACCCGATAGACGTTTCGTTTATACGGTCTTTGATTGACCTCTGTCCCCAGAAGTTGCCATGGCCAATATGTTTTGTCTAGTAACTTGCCGTCTACATATGCAGGGAATGACATTTATTCGAGAAAATGCGACTTCCAAGTCACCCAGCTGGTCATCTTCGGCCTGCTGGAACACGGCAAACAGTGGTTCAACCAGGAAACAGAGCAAGGAGACGGCGAAGGAGTCATATGTATCCTAAGAGCCGGGACGGAGTGGTGCAGGCTATAGATATTTTTGGGAGATGTAGCCGTGGAGGCTGCAGAGGGGTGATGGAAGGTTGGTAGGTAGATAGTGTCGAGGATGTCTGAGAGACTCGCGGTATTGGAAGGCTGCTAGGCCACAGTCTCCCTACGTCCAACTGTGTAGTACCCGGTGACCCAAAATCTCTAAAATAGGAGTATCAATTTGGTATTGCTTGTAGACTGCTGATTGGCAATTCCTTGGATGTCTATCGGATACCTTGGATCTCGACGAGAGCCTCGGGTACCTAGGTAGACTAAGTCACTTAAGTATACTGCTGTCTGCTGATACTATCCCGGTCTTATCACCTTTTACAGATAGTGCTGCACAGGTGACTGAGATAGTCGATCTATGTCATCTGTTGCTGTAGCGACGCTTATCAGTGATTGGACTCCCTTTGCCAGCAATGCCCCACACCCGATGCTTGACGCCTGAACCACCCTGATTCCTGATTCCGATTCCTACTCCTTCAGCATGACCTTGCTCTTGACAATTGCACACCAGTACTGATGTTCAGAATGCTAGCATTACCAATACACCTTTTGGCCACAGCTCTTGCTATCACAGGAGAAGTTGCCGCTCTTCAGCTCCCTCTCTTCGGTGCCTCGGAACCCCAAATTCCGGTGGCTGGGAAGGAGTTGATCAGCTCCTCCGCGCTGCAAAGCCAGATCGATGTCGGCAAGCTACTCAACAGAGCCAAGCACCTGTATAGCATCGCAGAACTCGGGTCTGACGAGTATAATCACCCCACACGAGTGATTGGCAGTAAAGGTTCGTTTGAATTTGTTTGGTGTCGCGTATCGCAAGGCGACTTACTCACGTGACCACAGGCCATCTGGGGACGCTGGACTATATCTATGCGACTCTGACGGATTTCGACGACTACTACACTATCTCCAACCAGACCTTTCCTGCAGTTACCGGCAATGTGGTGGAATCACGGTTGGTGCTAGGCCACACCGTGCCAGAGTCTGCTCTCCCCATGGGCTTGACACCCCCCACCAAGAACCACGAACCGGTGTACGGACCGCTGGTGCTTGTCTCACGCCTGGGCTGTGACGCGGCAGACTACCCGGCAGAGCTCAAGGGTGCCATCGCATTTATCAGCCGAGGCAGTTGTCCTTTTGGTACCAAGTCCGCCTTGGCTGGAAAGGCCGGAGCCGTGGCCGCGGTGATCTTCAACAACGAAAAAGGCGGCCTCGGAGGGACTCTGGGCACTCCGTCTCCCGACCATGTCGCTACCTTTGGTCTTTCTGATAGTGATGCGGCGCCCTTCCTGGAACGACTCCGACACGGCCAGAAGGTCGATGCAATCGCCTACATGGATGCCACGGTGGAGACCATCACCACCACCAATATCATTGCGCAAACCAAAGAAGGAGATCCCGACAATTGCGTGATGGCCGGTGCACACAGTGACAGCGTGATGGAAGGACCTGGCATCAACGATGATGGATCGGGCTCCTTGACCTTGCTGGAGATCGCGTCTTTGCTGCCTCAGTACCGGGTCAACAACTGTGTCCGACTGGCGTGGTGGGCTGCGGAAGAGGAAGGACTGCTCGGATCGGACTACTATGTATCGGTGCTGTCCGAGGCTGAAAACCTGAAGATCCGACTGTTTATGGACTATGACATGCTGGCCTCGCCCAACTTTGCCTATCAGGTCTACAACGCCACCAACGCGGTCAACCCAGTTGGATCGGAACAGCTGCGGGACCTCTACACCGAGTTCTATGAGGCGCACGGATTGAACTTCACCTACATACCATTTGATGGACGAAGCGACTATGATGCGTTCATCCGGAATGGCATCCCCGGCGGCGGAATCGCTACTGGAGCTGAGGTGATCAAGACAGAGGAAGAGCAGCAGATGTTCGGAGGTGTCGCTGGAGAGGCCTTTGATCCCTGCTACCACCAGCTCTGTGACGACGTAAGCAATGTCAACCTCACTGCCTGGGAGGTGAATACCAAGGTAAGAGTTGTTTTGTCTCTCTACAGTCGAGAACGATTACTGATATGTATACAGCTGGTCGCACACTCGATTGCCACGTACGCTCGGTCATTCGATGGCTTTCCGAAGAGGATCGGGATAGAATCTGTGATGAAGGGTGACGAGCAGAGAAAGTATCATGGACACGCTCTGCTGTACTGACAGACAGTAGATTTGAGTCAATTGCTGCATTGAATAGTCTAGAGCTAGATATTCTGGCGCAGAGTTGCCTGTAACGACTTCACAATCAATCTCCGTTTGGCTGAAGATGAAGAAAGGTGTCCCAGCTATTTGACGTCATCTGATCCATAGAATGAATCTATTACCTAAAAGTCCAGTAAGGGGGGAAGTCATGATGAGGCATTTCTTGGTGCCAAGGACGATCCTCTTGACTCTGAAATTTTCGACAGAGCACGCAACTGGTCTAGAACTGAACACGACTTTAGCTAGAGCTCATTCACAATGTCAGA